TGCCACATGGCTGGCCACTGTCGGGTGGCTGGTGTTTCAAACAAAAAAAGGGAATCACAGAGCCCTGTCACCCCTTGGGCTCCCAAAACTCGCCTCCTGTTGCCCTTGGTGTCGGGTCGGGTTGAGAAGCACATAATCTGTAAACTGAGAGCTACTGCAGCAAAATCGCTATTTCCCTCTGTGACTGATCCCCAGTTGGGGTGAGTTGCAGTAAACCCAATGCAAGTTCAGGGTTGCCATTATGGTGAGGGCAAAGCATACCCTACCCCCAAGCAGCAAGCAGCAGGGCTGTGGAGGTCACCTGTGGGAGGTCACAGAGGTAAAAATCTTGTAATTTAGTACCACCTACTAGAAAATAGTAGAAAGGCCTCTTCAGAGAAAGTGGCTAGAGAAGGGCAAATAATACATAGATGCCTAGACAGAGGAGATCAACAAATACCACAAATAACCATAGCAGAGACGCAGCTCATAAAGAAAATGAAAAATCTCCAGGAAGCAAACTGGAACACATGGAAATATGTGATATAAATGACAGAGAATTCAAGATGGCAGTTCTGAAGACTCAACGAGATAGGAGAAAATACAAACAGGCTACTTAATGCACTCAGAAAACAAATTAATGAAAAAACACACGAGTACTTTTCCAAAGAGATTGAACTTAAAAAAAGAACCAATCACCCTAGTCAGTTTGGCACAGTGGTTAGAATGTTGGCCCACAGACTAAAGGATCCCAGGTTCGATTCCGGACAAGAGCATACCTCGGTTCTAGGCTCAATCCCCAGCCCCTGTCAACATGTGAACCGGAAGCAACCAATCAATGTCTCTCTCTCATATTGATGTTTCTCTCTCTCCCTCTTTCACTCTCTCAGAAAAGCAATGAAGAAAATATCCTTGGGTGAGGATAAAAAAAACATTAAAAAACACACACAAACAATCAGAAGTCCTGGAAATGAAGCATGCAATTAAGGAGATGAGGAGTGAACCACTGAGCGTACGAAACAGAGCCAACCAGACGGAGGAAAGAATTAGTGACATCAAAGGTAGGAAGCTAGAAATTATGCAGAAGGAAGAAGGGAGAGACCTGAGCTTAAAATAATAAAATGAAAGAGCTCTACAAGAACTATCTGACTCCATCAGAAAAAGCAATATTAGAAAAATAGGCATTCCAGGAGAAGAAGAGAGGAAGAAGGGACCAGAGAGTGTACTCAAACACATAGTGGATGAGAACTTCCCAAACCTATGGAAAGAAGTAGATCTCAAATCCAAGAAGCCAACAGAACACCTAGTTACCTCATTCCAAAGAGGCCCTAGCCAAGGCACACTGTATTAAAACTGTCAAAAATTAATGACAAAGAAAAAAAGTTCTCAAAGCAGCCAGGGAAAAGAAGGAAGTGACCTACAAAGGAAAACCCATCAGAATTTCATCCGACTTCTCAGCAAAAACTCTACAGGACAGAAGAGAGTGGAGCCAAACATTCAAATGTCTATAAAAGAAATTACCAGCCATGAATAGTATATCCATGAAAATTATCCTTTAAATAGGAAGGAGAAATAAACACTTTCCCAGACATACAGGAGCTGAGAGAATTTAGCACTAGAAGACTTCCACTGCAGGAAATGCTCAAGGGAGTTGTTCTACCTGAAACAGAGAACATAAGGTCACAACACTACGAGTAAGATCAACAAAAAACTTACAGCATAAACAGGGATAATTGTGACAACAAAAACATAAAAGGGGAGGGGTAAAGGTCTGAACTGGCAAAGAAAGATGGAGATCAGAATCAAAAGAAAAAAAACTACTGTATATATGCAACTTCATTTTTTTATAAACCTAATGGTAACCACACTCAAAACCCCCAAAATTAAGACACACAACTTAAAAAAAGAGGACACAGAGGAAAGAAGTATGAAACACCACCAAAAACAGCAGACAGAAACACAAAGAAAAAGAACCGATGGAGGCACAGAGCTACCAGAAAACAAAAGATAAAATGGCTATAGGAAATCCTCATAATCAATAATTACCCTAAATGTAAATGGTCTGAATTCACCAATAAAGAGGCACAGAAACTACAAAGCATTATTAAAAGAGACTGAAAAAGTCACAACAAAATGGAAAAATATCCTGTGCTCATGAATTGGAGGAATCAACGTAGTTAAAATGGCCATGTTACCCAAAGCAATATACAGATTTAATGCAATCCACATCAGAATCCCAGTGTCATTTTATTTTTTTATTTTTAAATATATCTTTATTGATTTCAGAGAGAGGAAAGGAGGGAGAGAGAGAGAGAGAAACATCAATGATGAGAGAGTCATCGATCGGCTGCAGCCCACAACCCTGGCATGTGCCCCGACCGGGAATCGAACCCCAATTGCCTGGATCCTAGGTCGATGCTTAACCGCTGAGCCACGCCTGGCTGGGCCCAGTGTCATTTAAAAAAAAATAAATTTAAAAAATCATCAGATTTGCATGGAACCACAGAAAGAACATGAATAGCCAAAGCAACCCTGAGAAAGAATGAAGCTGGAGGTATCACACTATCTGACTTCTAATTATACTACAGAGCTACGATCATCAAAACAGCATGGTCCTGGCAGAAAAACAGACACACAGACAATGGAACAGAATAGAGAGCCCATATATAAAACTACATGTATATGGGAAGATAATTTTTGACAAAGGAGCCAGAAACACAGAATGGAGTACAGATAGTCTCTTCAATAAATGGTGCTGGGAAAACTGGAAAGCCACATGCAAAAGAATGAAACGGGATTACAGTTTGTCCCCATGTACAAAAATTAACTCAAAATGGATGAAAGACCTAAGTGTGAGACCTGAAACAATAAATTACATAGAAGAAAGATAACACAGGTACTAAACTTATGGACCTTGGTTGTAGAGAACATTTTATGACTGTACCAAACTAAAAAGCTTCTGCACAGCAAAAGAAACTGACAACAAAACAAAGAGGCAGCCGACCAGAGGGAGATGGTATTCACAAGCAGCTCCCACAAAGGTTTAATATCCAGCATATATAAAGAACTCATAAAACTCAACACCAAACAAACAACCCAATTAAAAATGGGCACATGACCTGAACAGACACCTCTCCCAAGAAGACATACAAATGGCCAACAGATATATGAGAAGATGTTCAACCTCACTAGCAATTAGGAGAATGCAAATCAAAACTGCAATGAGATCCCACCTCTCACCTGTTAGAGGGGCTGTTATCAGCAAGACAAGTAACAACAAGTGTTGGAGAGGCTGTGGAGAGAAGGGAACCCTCATTCACTGCTGGGGAATGTAGACTGGGACAGACACTACAGAAAACAGACTGCCGAGGCCTCAAAAAATTAAGAATAGCCCTGGCTGGTGTGGCTCACTGGTTAGAGCGCTGGCTTGCACACTTGAGGGTTGTGAGTCAAGGGTAAGCACCTGAGTTATGGGTTTGCTCCCTGCCCCAGGTTGGGGTGCATGCAGGAGGCAACCGGTCAATATCACTCTTTCTGTCTCTCTCTCTCTCTCTTGCTCTCTCTCCCTCCTTCCCTCCCTTCCTCTCTCCCTTCTACTCTCTCTGAAAAGCAATGGGAAAAATATCCTCAGCTGAGGATTAACAATAAATAAAAAATTAAGAATAGAGCTAGCATACAACCCAGCAGTCCCTCTCCTGGGTATATGCCCCAAAAAACTCAAAAACATGTACTCTCAAAGTCATATGCACCCCTACGTTCACTGCAGCATTATTCAAGGTGTCCAAGACACGGAAACAGCCAAAGTGCCCTGCGATAGAGGCCTGGATAGGGATGTGGGAGGTGTGCACAATGGATACTACTCACCATGAGAAAGGATGGATACTGCCATTTTCAACAACACGGATGGACCCTGAGAATATTATGCTACGTGAGATGTCAGGCAGAAAAAGCTAACAACCATACAATTTCACTTATGAAGGATATAAAACTGAAAATGATGGACACAAAAGGCATCGTGGTTGCCAGAGAGAAGATGATGAGGGCTGGAGGTTGAAGGGGGCCTAATATATGGTGACAGAAGATGGTCTGACTTTGGGTGGTGGGTACACAGTGCAATATACAGATCTTGTAACATAGAAAGCCACACCTGAGACCTTTATGTTCATATTGACCACTGTCACCCCAAAAAATTTAATTTTTTTTTTTTTAAAAAGAGCAGACTAGGGAATGCCCTGAGGCAAAAGGCTGCAAACGACATACCTTGCCCTCCATAGTTATCTTTCAAGGGTAGAGGTCTCTATTTTGGGGAGGTCACATGTACTGACATGAAAATATACCGACACATAGTGTTAAGTGAAAAGAGAAAGTTGTGAAACAAAATGAATGCATGATTCCACTTACACTTTTAAAAAGTTATTGCAAAGCCTGGCTGGGTGTGGCTCAGCAGCTGAGCATCAACCTAGGATCCAAGAGATCGCGGTTCGATTCCTGGTTGGGGCACATGGGTTGTAGGCTCGAACCCCAGTCAGGGGCATGCAGGAGGCAGCCGATCAATGACAACTCTCTCATCATTAATATTTCTCTCTCTCTCTCCCTCTCCTTTCCTCTCTCTGAAATCAATAAAGATATATTTTTAAAAAGTTATTGCAAAAAGTATGTGTGTGTGTATATATATATGCACACTGAAAGGTATGAGGACTACCAGCCATGGCTATTTCTAAGAGGGCGAAGGGTATGTTTCTATACCTGTATGTGTATACATGTATGCAAACTTCACATTTTTACTCCATGAATGCCTACATTTGAATTTTTAGAATACATATGCGCTTTTAAAAAACTGATTTTTTCTGGTCTCTGTGTGGTTTGGTGGCACTTATTAGCTGTTTCAGAACTTCTCTTAACTTTAAATTAAAGGAGTAAATACATATAAAGTGTTGAGTATAGAACAGTGCTTGACCCACAGCAGGACTTCCATTACTGTGAGCCATCCTGCTGCTATCCCCATGATGTGCAGACAGTACCTCTCTCATTCGGCTCTGCAGCAGAGAACGTGGCCATGAAGCCGTTCCCGGCGGTGTTGGCGTCGGAAACCATCTGCACCATCATCTTGTTGCCACTGGACACGAGGGCTCCAGGCCGGAAGGTGCCACAGAAGCGCCCAATACGCTGGCCGTTGCTGTGGCCGTTGTACACATCCACAAAGTCGTAGCGGCACAGGCTGTCACTCTCGAGGTCTATGAATCGGAAATTGAGGACCACTACTTTCCCCTTGGGAACCTGCCGAGAGAAAGGCCATCAGAAAACTGTGTCATGAAAATAATGTCCGAGGTCTTCACGTTCAGCCAATTACCAGTGAGCAGATAAACGTGTATATCCAAGACAGTGCTGTTTCTTCCCTCAAACCTAAACTAAGCCAGAAAAGGTACTCCTAATAAAATATGAAAGTTTATGGTCTTTGACAAATCCCACAGTTCTCCAGGGCACTCAATGTTATTCCCAGGGAATTTATCTCAACAGAGCTTCAGAATATTGGGCCGGTCTTGTCAATTGATGCCGCTGCTCACACACTGGCATACTCAAAAACAGCAAGGCTCCCAGAGACACTGCTTGGCAGGGAAGCATTTGAATTGTCATTTTTCGCAAATAATACAATGGGACAATCTCAGGATACAGAACATTCCTAACAAGTAAAAACCAAAAGGATTATTTGGCAATTGTGCAGATGACTTATAGATAATACTTTGGGTCCTGAAAGATCCAGATCAACTGTGCACAACGTGTGATCACACTGACTTAGTAACAGCTGAATGCTCTCTTCTCAAAGTCACTTTGTTGCTTGTTTTCTAGGTGCCAACTTTATGTACCAGGGAGCCTGAAACGATCTCATAACTTTCTTCACCACAATTCCCCCCGTATAATTCTTATCCTGCTTCCCTCTGCTTCCTGAATAGGTAGGGGTGGAAATGGCTGCAAAATCTTTTGACAGAATTCTTACAAAAGCCCCATTTCTTTCCCAGTTCACACCACCTTTTTCAGTTCTTCATTAAAGTAGTTTAGTCATGAAGTCTCAGTCAGATTTATTTCACCTTCTCAACTAGATGAGGTCCCCACTGACTAGCAGAAACATTTCATTCTGCAAAAACGTACAGCTGACATAGGTCAGTGATTTCAAAAACAAGCCGACACAACCCACAGGCAACCCTGGTTGGTTTACACTCACTTTGGTTAACTATCACACACTCAAGGCTCAACAGATGCTCTGACATGATGTGGCTTCCCCATGTTGCTGCGTTCAGTGCCATGATTTTTTTTGTACAAGAGGACGTGTGTCAGTGCTATTTGCCTTTTGTGTCAGTGTATACCCACCCTAATGTAGGAACAGTAATGGAGGAGTCGCAGGAAGGGGAACATTTTGGCCTTGCCTTGGTTGCATTCTAGTTATCAGAAGCTTATCTTTCTTTTTCAGTCTTATTTTGTATTGGTTTCAGGTGTACAGCATAGTGGTTAGACAGTCATACACTTTACAATGTTCCTCTGGTATTTCCAGTACCCCAACTGGCCCCATACAGAGTTATCACAATATTACCGACTATATTCTCTGTGCTGGGTTGCAGGTTTGATCCATGCCCCAGTCGGGGTGCGTTCGGGAGGCAACCAATCGATGTGTCTGTCTCACATCAATGTTTCTCTCTCTCTCCCGCCTCCTCCCTCCCTTCCACTTTCTCTGAAAATCAATGGAAAAAATATCCTCAGGTGAGGATTAAAAATAAAATTAAATTAAAATAAAAAAGGTACGAGGCCTAAGAATAGGGCCCTAGGGCACTGGGCTTTCCAAATGAGGTCAAACCGCAACAGAGACGGAATTAGTAAGTCGAAGGCAGCAGGAGGGTGGTGCCTAGAAGCCAAGCGAAGAGGCTGTGTCCAGGAGGACGGACTGGCCGGCTGCATCCGAGGAAGGTGAGGACAGAGCAACAACCCTGGGTTTACAACCAGAGGTCAGTGGTGACCCCGACGAAGCTGTTTTGTGGAGCAGTGGGGACAAAGCCTGAAAAGAGGAAGATCGAGGAAAAATGGAGAGGAAATGGTAATGATAAATATAGACAAACCTTCCAAGGAGTTTTGCTGGAAGGATAACCAGAGTAAGATGGGAGTTATCTGAGGGGGTGTGAGGTGAGGATAGGATTTTACAATGGGCTATATTAAGGCATATTTGCATTGAGTGGGAATAATTCTGTAGAGAGGGCAAAACTGATGAAGTAGGAGGGAGGGAGAATTGCTGGAGAAACGTCGCTGAGCGAGCATGGGGAGATGTGAGCGAAGGCGCAGGTGCGGGAGGCAGCCTTAGAGCAGGGCTCAGAGGGCAGCCCGTGGGCGGAGGGAAGGCAGGTGCCTGCAGGTTCGTAGCTGAGGCTCGAGGGCATGTGGAACTTTTCTTCTGGTTTCTCTCTTTTCCATAGTGAATGGAAAACAAGGTCCCAGCAGCAAGAGTGGACATGAGGGCAGCTGTGGGAGTTTGAGGACAGGGAGAAGGCTCTATGCCCCAGGCGGCTCCCTGGGTGGGGGTGCAGGGCGGGAAGAGGCGGATTTCAGCAGTGGTAGGTAGGCTGGGGCCAGGGAGGAGGGGTGCTTGCTAGGTAAGGGCTATGGAAGAAGAGAGGGCTGGGAGAGCTGGGGATGCAGGCAGGGGGTGACCATAAAAGGGAGCATGGAATTCAAGCTGGGTAAGGACAGTAACCACCTCGGCCTTGGTGGAGGAAGGATGGTGACAATGCCAAGTGGGTGGCTGAGGAATGACGGAGGACAAGCTCGGATGACAAGCTCGTTGCAAGAGAAGAGGTTAAGGACTCAAAAGAACCACCCACACAGACGCTGAATTGGCTACAAATCAGACGAGGGGGATGCTGGGGACAGTGGCAGTGAGCCGGAGGGAAAATGTGCGAGTGAGGAAGACTTTCTCAGGGTCTTCCAATGACCGCAACAGGAGGGCCTCGGGTGGGCAGTCTTGTTTCGTCGCTAAGTTCTCAGTTCTCTGACACTAAGAAAATTCTGTTAATTCGTTCCCGTAGCCTGGCTGTTGACATGCATACAGGCCTTGGATACTCATCCCTACTGGAGTAAATCTCTCCTTCTCAAAAGTTCTTTACTTGGTCCCACTGCAATGAAAAGTTGAAGCTTCTCTGACATAGACACAGTGTTGACACTAGAAACTGGGTTACATCGTTGTGATTTTGAGCGCATGATGATCCCAACAAGCCTGGCAAGAGCTCTTGGGAAAGAAGCTCGCAAAGGAGACCTGTACGAGCCGCGGGTCTGCTGTAGCCCGCACTGAGGCCAGAGAGCTTCTCCAGCAGGTGAGACGCACACCGCAGCGAGCGTGCCACTGTCCCGGGGTGGCTGCCATGCACATGGTGTGAGGAGCGAAGGCCGCCCATGCCATGCACAGTGAACTTTGCTGAGTCCCTGGGCAGTCACCCTAAAGGACTTTAGAAAGCATATTCTCTGAAGCTGACCTTTCTACTTGAAGAACCTACAGTCTGTATCCTTGGTTTTTGTTAGGAATATTTTGAAAATACAGAAACACACAATTGTTATAACAAACACCTGGGCACCAACCCTCCAGAATTGATTATTGTTAACATTTTGGTAACATTTTTTAAGTCCTCTTTAATAAAATTAAACCTTTCAGATGAAATGAGGTTGCTTTTGTGCTCGTTCCAGGCCCCCTTTCTCCCTCGATTCTCAGAAGCAACCACTGTCACAAATTTAGTGGTTTCCTTCGTATCATTCAAAATACTTTTCTATACATGCCCTGGCCGGGTGGCTCAGTGGCTCAGTGGGTTGGAGCATCGTCCCATACACCAAAAGGTTGTGGGTTTGATTCCCAGTCAAGGCACAAACCTAGGTTTTGGGTTCGATCCTGGGTTGGGGCAAGTGTGGGAGGCAACCAGTCAATGTTTCTCTCCCCCTCCCCTCCTCGCTCTCTAAAATCAATGAACACGTCCTCGGATGAGGGCGACAAGAAAACACTTTTATATACATGTATGTTTTATCCACGCAAAGAATACTGTGTCTTTGTGTCTGTTTTAAAAATGAATGAAGGCGAGATAAGGCCATACATGTCACTGTACAACCTGGGTATCCTTGAGTTTTCAAGTGAGGGAGAGAAGGGGGACAAATAAAGATAAAAACAAACACACGGGGCCTTCACAAGCCCTTCCTTCTGCTGAGAACACATTCCCAGTCCTGCCCTCCCCTCGCTCAAGCTTAGGGTCTCAGTTTCAACGTCATGTCTTCCTGGAGGCATTCCCAGACCCCTCTGCCCCTTCCTAAGATGGGCTCAGCCAGGCGGGCGGCCTGCCCCTCGAGTCTGAGCAGGGGATGGCTCAACCCACTCACTCAGTTCATTTCTCCTAAAAGATAGAGCTCTAGGAGGCCAGGATCCCTCTGCCTCATTCACAGTTGCATCCCCAGCCTCTGGACAGTGCCCAGAGTGGCCTCAAGGTACATCACAAAGATCTGTGAAGTGCATGAATCCATCCAGAGCTACATGGAGAACCAGCTTCTTTGCACAAATCCTGGATGAGGCAGTTCTCGGTGGCTCCACTGCTTGCGGCTCTAATAGCTCTTAGCCCGGTGGGGCAGCAGAGCTCCAAAGGCCACTCCTTTCTAAGCCATTCCTTACAAAATGGAAGATACAGATCTTTTGAGAAACTTTATATTTCAAATAGCCTGTAAATGCTAACACTTAATGCAGAAACTCAATCAAGAAGCTTTTGGTGGCCATTAGACAAAGCTACTGTTTGTGAGATTATATTGACCAGGGGACTCATTATCTGCCTGTAGAAAAACAATTCTATGCTCATTTTTGTTATTGTTTTGTTTTTATCAACAGCTGAGTCCTGGGTGAGCCAAAGCCTAGTGCTACAACAGCAACCTCAGCTCACCCCACGGCCCCTGGGAGGTCCCTATTGTCACAGGCTGACCTGCCAAGTTTCTTGATGTCAGTGCCCAGTGCCGAGCTGCTGCCAGAGAATGAACAGGGAGCTGCGTTTTAGGCTGATGGCTTGTGTTTTCAGGATACTATGAGCACGAGGCCAGCTTCTTACATGTGGAGATCTCTGCAGAAGTGGTAACGCCCCTTGGTGTCTGCAGTTTCTTCTCCCTAACACATCATTTACTAATTTGTGTGAAAAAATGTTTTATAGTCTATCTGATTGTTTTCGGAGCCATTGTTTTAATCTTCTAAGATTTCCTTTTCCACAAGAAGATGTTTGGGA